CAAACATTTCTACACCTGTCTCCTATCAAACATTTCCACACCTGTCTCCTATCAAACATTTCCACACCTGTCTCCTATCAAACATTTCCACACCTGTCTCCTATCAAACATTTCCACACCTGCCTTCTATCAAACATTTCCACACCTGCCTTCTATCAAACATTTCCACACCTGTCTCCTATCAAACGTTTCCACACCTGCATCCTATCAAACATTTCCACACCTGTTTCCTATCAAACATTTACACACCTGTCTCCTATCAAATATTTACACACCTGTCTCCTATCAAACATTTCCATAAAATGGTCTGTTGGGTGATTGCTGTTCATGCCTAAATATGGTATTGAGTAGATGATAGAGTTGGAGCCATCTTGGTCAAACCTTGTAAATTATGAAATGAAAGATCTTATTTTCTAGCACTCAGAATATTTGTTTGGAATGGCGTCAACATGTAATACAACTAATTTTAACATTTTTGGTGTAAAATAGAATTATAGGCCTTTTTGTGTTAGCTAAGMTTGATTACCTGTGGTGGCCATCTTGACTTATATTGACTCCAGAAGTTAATCAGTTGTAGACATCTATCCAGTAATTACTTTCCAAGAGTTTCTGTAACTCCATGCAGTAGATTGTAAAATATTTTACTAATAGATGAAAATATTGCTGGCCTTTAGCTTGTATTGATGTCACAGAGTTTAGAATAACCAGTTTTACTTCCTTTAAATGTGCAGTAAAGGAAACCATTGTCTTATTGGTATATTTAGCTATGGTTTAAAGTACAGTAAAGGATAATGTGTTCAGCATAATACTGTAGCTTGCTTTGTTGATGCCTCTGATTTCCTGTTTCCTTCTAGCATCCCCGACTACTACCAAGAGCAAATCCAGGAGCACCACAACCCCCCACCCTTTAACTACTCGGACCCCTCGCTGCAGTATACAACCCACGTCAGTCCTCGGATTATAGACTACATCCCCCCCAGGCAGCGCTACAGATAGTCTACAGCCAGTTCTAACACTTTCCAACCTCCAACTCTGTCAACAAGATGAGTCCTGTTTAAAATAATTTCTACAAATGATTCTGAATGACTTTTAACATCTGTTAGCAGACGAGTAGAGCTGAACAAGGCTGGTCCCTCAGATGTCAGAACATGTTAGTTAAAATGAAAACTTCAGAAGAGCTTCTTAGTTTCCAGCATTAAGCAAAAAATCACCATGTAGTTTGTTTACACCTGTTGTTTGTTTACACCTGTAGTTTGTTTACACCAGTAGTTTGTTTACACCTGTAGTTTGTTTACACCTGTTGTTTGTTTACACCTGTAGTTTGTTTACACCTGTAGTTTGTTTACACCTGTAGTTTGTTTACACCTGTAGTTTGTTTACACCTGTAGTTTGTTTACACCTGTAGTTTGTTTACCCTT